TGTTTTCCAATTACAGAGCATAATGCGACTCAGTGGCGCACAATGCCGAATTATGCTGATGCTTAATTGGAACGTGAATTCGTTTTCAAATGCACCAGAAGAGTGCGCTAAGTTCAGTGTTTAAAAAAAAAATTCAATGTTTGTACCTTCATCCATACTTATATTTATTTTTTAACACAGTTTGAATTAACTTTGATTATTTAAAAAAAAACTATAATGAAACGAAAGCTTTAAAAAATTTTCAACAATAAATAATATTACTAACGATAAATAAAACATTTCGATCAATCCCAACTTAAAGATAAAACACTTAATTTTCTGTGCTGTAGTTGAAACATTCAACGTTAAGCATTATGCCGCATAATGCGCGCTAATGCTGTAATTGAAAATCTACCTATAATACGATTCAAAAGAATCGGAAAGCCAATGACCTCTATCTGTCAAATGTCGCTTGAAAAGTACGACTTGCAAAAAAATCTTGGAACCCTTTTTTAGCACTCCGCTAATTAAAGAATAGAAACCAAACATTTGTGAACAAACAATAACAAATATTGATAATTAATATCGGTTGATATTTTTTTTTCACTTATTTAGCTTTGGCCATGACTGGTTGATAACCTAAATCGTCAACACAATGTCACTTTAAGTTGCGTTCAGAAACTCGATTTCAAACTTTCGTTTACATAGAGGATGCATGTTCGTATGTGACATAGTAATAGTGCATGATTATTCATAACTATTCCTTATTAAAAAAATCTGATGCTTTTCTCACTTAATCTTAGTAAATAAGTTAAATTAAAGAGAAACATTTTTATGCTCACTCTACCTATTCGGTTTGAATTGACAGCTATGACATCACAATATGGCGCCCAGTGGTCCGGATTTTGAATATAGTGGTCTTAGGACACAAGGTTAATATATTAATATAATACCTATTTCGGCCAAGGTTGCATTCGGCTTTCTGCATGCATTAATTTCATGGTGAAATTAATAAATAAATGTAATACAATAATTTACAAATGGTTTCATTGTAAACACTTTTAAACATTTCGAGAAAAAAAAAATCAGTTTTGCTCCATACATTTTTTTCTTAAATATTTTTTTTTCGCGAAAATATACGATCACATGAAAACGGCTAGATCAAAAGTTGATAAGCGTTCATTTATCTGCCTGCATGAATTTTTTCAGCGCGAAATATTAACCTTGGGTCCTAAGACCACTATATTCAAAATCCGGACCACCACTGTGAGTCCTATTCTTAGTTGAATCGCATTGTGTCATTGACATTTCAAAAGTTTGCATTCGCAAACTATTCAAATTCGATACTGGTCTCAAGAAACTTACATGCTAAGTTCCTTGATTGGTCTTTAGACATAATTTTAGATATCTATCGCAATATTGGTTCACGTTGGTGTCGCGCCAGCAGCATATCGGTTTCATACATTTATGTACTATGGTTAGATACATATTTACGAGTCGTGTCGTGTCGACGCTCTAAGCTCTCTCTCTCTCTCTCTAACCCTTAATAAATGTATGAAATCGATGCGTTACGTCATGACACGTTAATGTTTCTGCCAGTTTCTGGCTCTCACCTTCATCTGCCACAAACCGTTAGCGAATTAATTACTTTTTTACTTTGAAAGTTTAATTATAAATGTATTAAAATATCTAAGAATAGATCTCTAATTTATAAAAAATAAAAAAGAAAAAAATTATAGGCACATCAATGTATATTAAGAATAATAAATAAAAAATAAAAGTAAGATGGTACCAGCAGAGGCGGCAAACTACCAAACTAGGCATATGCCTAGGGGCGCGAGGGTACAAAGGGGCGCGCGGGATATCGAATTGTAATATAAAGAAAACAAAATATATAGCATAAACTTAATTAGGCCAGTAAGTCACCTACTTACACAATAAAAACTAATAAAAAATATTATTTTTGCTAACAACCTCAATTTGATACAATTTATAACAAAAGATAAATTTAACGGATGGGATGGGTGGGACTGACTATTACTTACGCCTACAAAAAACCTTGTCGATGGTACATGATCTCTGTAATGTTCGTTGCATCGCAACTGACTCGACTGCAACTATAGTACGAGTTATTTTTAATATAGGAGCGCTGATGAGAAGTTTGTCTACGGCGCTCTCAACGTTTAATCAGCCACTGGGTACCAGTTAGAGTGGCGTGGTAGTCAGTCCTCGGTGCCCGTGACGAGGTTTCAAAAGCAGTGGGTCATCTTTCCTATCTTCTTTTCACTACATTTGCGAAAATAAAAAGTAACAGATTTTCAAGAAATCATTGGAAAATATTAGTAGAGCGTTTAAGAAGGTTCCATATTTTTTTCAGAATATCATTTACAAATTTTAAAACATTATTTCAAGAACTTCAACTATTTATAACCAAAAAGAGCACTGAATTGCGTGAAGCAATACTTGCAAAGATTTGATTAGCACTTTAAGATTTCTTGTTTCAGGAGAAAGTTACAAGAGCTAACACTGTCTTTCTATAATATCACATCAAGTTATCTCCTTAATTTTAATGGAAGTTTGCACTTCTCTGTGTCAGGTCCTAAAAGGAATGTGAAGGTGAACTAATTTGAAACTATTCAGATAAGGCTTTATTATTTAAAATTACTGTACAGATGCTATGAACTAAATAATTTATAAAAGGCTCCTGCTGCTTAATTGCATTTCTATTTCATACAATTGAAGATTCCATCCCAGAATTTGGTAAGATGTACTCCTGCAGAGGATTTCCTTCTTTATTTACAACTTCAACTTCATATCCTGATGATGAAGGTGAATATGGAATCACATTTGATGTAGAATTTGGTCCACTAGAGTTATGCCGTTGATCAATGAAAAGTTGATTTATTTTCACCATCATTATATCTCTATGTTCTTCTGTAAGTCTTCGTAATTTTTTAGCAATAAGTATGCCAAAGACTGAGCATTCATCATCATCATTATCTCTTGATCTCTGATATACCTTTTTCATAAAATTGAATGCATGGTTCATCTGCTTTTGTGCTTGCATTAACTCGGGAGGATCATGGTATCTTCTTTTAAATGCTACTGGTGTTGCCGTTTGTTTCGCATTGAATGAGTGATACTGGTTGCTTTTGGTAGTTGTATTCTTATCTATATCCTGCTCTTCTTTTTCTACACCCTAAAAGAATAAACAAATTTTTATTAATTTTTAGTAACCTGCAAAAGATGATGATGTAGGATGTCATGGACCATGAGTGATCGTTGTGTATTAAATAATTCCTTAATCTAGAATAAAATAAGTAATAATTAAGATTGCCGGCTTTAAACCTACCATATGTGTTTTTGGGTGATGATGCCTTTGCCCTACAAACTAATTTGATGAAGCCATATCAAGGAGTGCATCAAGAAGGATCCAACGAACAAAATTCAACGAGGATCTTTCATCTTCCCAGGTCATGGGTATATGGAAATTGTCATTTTATATTTAAACTGCTCCACAAACCATTGCTGCTTCAGCCGGAAATGTCATAACAAGTAGTAATGTCATGAATTGTTTTCAAGAATAAGTACAACTTTCTGCAGGTAAGAATAAACCACCAGGTACATTTGACATATATGGAAGAGATGCTTTACTGGTTCCTAGGTCATGGAGGTACTACATTCCTGAGGATCCACCTTTACGAACTTTGTCACACACATTGAAGACACCAAGAAATAAGAAATGCATTTGCCAATTAGTAGTTATGAGTAGGATATTTTAGTTATTATACATACCTCAGTATTCATTGTGGCGTTTATGCAAGCGCTGCTGCAAGAATACACAGAATCTAAAAAACTGTCCATTAAAGGAAATGCAAACCACATTGGTTGGTACACCTCTTCACCTGATATTTCAGATTTCTTAATTTTAATCTTGTAGCCTCTATAGGACGCCATCAGGGACTCTTTCTTCCTTTTTAATTCTTTCACTGTGTATGGGAACCCTATTTCTCTTTTTATATTTTTCCATGCCTCATTTACACTTTGCCTATCTTTATGATTTTCATGCTTTGGATTCCATATGCACGCATTATTTTTATAAAGTTCTATAAATCTTAGAACCGTTGTGTTGTCCCAATTCATGATAAAACCAGTCTTCAGTCAGCACCGTAGTCTGTAAGTATTTAGTGGCAGTGCAAAATAAATAGTTGTTGCAGTTTCGATTTCAAAACTGTTACCGTTGTAGTAATGTGTGTTTGTTTATGTAAAGGTTCTCTTTGTCAGATACGCATATAAATACTTATATTTCATGAACTACATCTGTTTATAAGGAATTTAGAGTAAAAGTAAACAAACACTTTACCTCTCAATCTCAATTCTCACGCAATGATTCATTGAGTGGATTTCTTAACACCTTCATTAGCATTTCTAGGGTTTTCACTCATTAATTCACTGTTTTAAAGCAGTAATTTCTTTATTTATGAGAAATTATAAATAAAATCTCGTGAAGGTTATTTTGACTGATGAAATTGTCTGTAATCTGTAATCTATGGGTACAAAATATTTCATATTGACAAAATTATAGTGAAGTAGTAACTGAAGAAACAAAGTGTGAAATCAAGAAAAAAAATTTTGAACTAGACAGACGAAGGGAAGTCAAGAAATAAGATACCTAGAATCAGATTTGGCTTACAAAATAATAATTTACTTTGAAAGAGGCTGTATGGCCACTGGAACCCTCGCCTTCACGACATAATTAAAAAAATATCTGTTGTGTGCTGGGCTACGTTCAATACCTACGCGCCGAGTGCAACTTTTACCCTGACCATAAAGTTATAATAAAATATGGGTTTTTTTAATTAAGACCTGACTTAATATCGTTGCCTGGCTCGATCAATTTTGATCTCGTCAGGTCATCATCATCAAATTTGTGAAGCTTATGTCAAATTTGACATTTATTGCTCCTTGAGCGTACGTAGGTTTTCAACGTAGCTGTCAGTATCTCTAAGTAGTCTGTGGTAGCCCTGACTGTCCGTGGTACGCATGTGAATTTGAACCAAAAATATAGAAATTGTTTATTTTACATAAATGGTAAATTAAAATGCCTGCTGTAACAGAAAATGATGTCCTGGTATACAGAGGCAGTAACTTCTTTCGTCAAAGATTAATACTTTCGAGTTTAAGTGGACGAGCCATCAGAATAGAGGAGATTCGAAGTACACACGACGATCCAGGGCTTCGGGAGTATGAAGTGAGCCTCATTCGTCTTCTAGACAAAGTGACGAATGGAACAAGAGTTGAACTTAGTGAAACCGGCACATCTTTGTATTATCAGCCCGGAATTTTGATTGGAGGCCAGGTTACACACAGCTGTTGTCCGCAAAGGGGTATAGGTTAGTTCATTGTTTATAATGTAGTTTTTGGATAATTTAAAATTTACTTATGTATTAATATTAGTGGAATGTGAAGAGGAATTGTATATATGTTAATATATTGTGTTTAGATACCTTCTGATCTGTGAATTTGCAAATTTGGGGCTATCTGTGATTCATGCTGCAATACTGGCATTGCAAACAAACAAACAGGCTTTTTACTCTTGTCCTAAGGAGACATAATACATGTGAAATTTTACTCTTAACATCACATTTCTTATGTTGTATTACTAATAATGCCTTTGAAAACAATATCAAAACAGGTTGTGGTATTTTAATAGCTCTGACAGATGATTTCCATTTCAATTATTTAAAACTGGGAATTTATGTATTCATTTGTGTAGAAGGTTGTGTCTTAGGTTAAGGAAGAGATTTTTCTTAAAATCAGAACAATATACCAGCTCTTGACATAGTCCACAAATGGTAATAAATAAAGTACTAGGAGCCTAAACTTAACAAACACAAGGCTAAAACTATACATAAAAGGTGATGAAGTATCTTATATAGGCAAATTGCTTTTTATGTACCTAATAAACTATTACGGGTCATAATTTAGTTTATATATATGGTGTAAATAAGTATTGGAACTTGCAATAGTAAAAACAGATAACTTTACTTAGTACTAGTGGGTGCCAGCCGCATTGTCTGCATGAAAAAATTGGTTTCCCATACTAACTACTAAAAAGATAAAAAGCTCTTTTTAACTTCATAAAGAAACATTTCTGTGAATAAAAACTATCCTATATCCTATACTGGAACTTAAACCATTTCAACAAATTTCATCCTAAACAGTTCAGTGGTTTATGCATGAAGAGGTAAAACACAGACAGACACACTTTTGACCACTGTCTGTACAGTTAGATCTTTTAAATCATGCAACTGATTTTAATGCAATAAATATTAACTCAAACCCTTAGTAAGTAAAAACCTCAATAACTCAAATTATGTAACATTTCCCTTGGTCTTTATCTTATCGAGGTTCTACTGTAATTAATAATGGGTCTACCATTTTTGCAGATCTGTTAATTTCATAACATTATTATGCATTCACATTCACTGCTTTATTAGACAAAACTCGTAATTTTGTAAGCCAGAATCATCTTTAGGCTTTAAAATTAATGTTCGTAATAATTAAAAAGAGAAACTATCATATTGCAGAAAGTTCACAGAATCATATACTGCCATACAAATTTTTAACTTTTCCTTGTTTTATTTATCTGTATATAATAAAGCCCTTTCTAAGTCTCACTGCATAAAATAAAATATTAATTATTCTGCATTTATTATTTTCCAGGATACTATTTGGAAGTGCTATTAGCTCTAGGGCCCTTTTGTAAGGAACCACTGAATGCAGTACTACAGGGTGTGACACATAGTGAACTGGATGTATCTGTAGATAAACTGAAGACAGCCGCTTTACCTATACTGCTGAAATTTATTCTGGTTGATGATGGGCTGGAACTAAAAGTCATAAGAAGAGGTACTCATAGAAATTTTATAACTATTCCTATTTGAATACCAATTCAAGTGATAATTATAAAATATGTACTTATGTTTATTGTAAATGTGCATAATTTAAATAGATAAAAAAGAAAAATTAAATAGTGATCAACAATACATAAATTATTTATTTCTATGATTTTAAGTACAGTTTTTTTCTGTGATAATTACTACTTTACATGGCAAAACTTCGTAACCCAGTGGAAAAGCAAAAAACGCTCATACCACTTCAGTTCTGCCTAAAAAACATTAAATAAAAAATTCAGCAGCATTCTCTCCTTTTTATTCTGTATAGACAAGGATACACTGTTGTCAAATTTAAGTTTAGGTTTGGAGAATCATGCCAGAATTGACACCATTATGTACATATTTTTACTACATTGATTTTATGTTCTCAATTATAAGACTAGAAAAATGGTTTTTCTTTGTTACAGTCTTGTTTGAAATGATGTAAAAAATAAAGAAATCATAAGCATGAGTCATTATAACGATTGATGATTATTTTTAAATATACTTCTTCAATAATAATTTTGTTCTATATGTAGGAGCTCCACCTTTAGGGGGTGGCGAAGTGGTGTTCCGGTGTCCAGTGCGTCGTCACCTGCGTCCTCTGCAGTGGACCACGTGGGGCCTAGTGAAGAGGATACGAGGAGTTGTGTACGCATTACGGGTGTCACCAACTATGGCCAATAGAGTTGTGGACTCAGCCAAAGGAGTAAGTGATCGAGAGCACATTATAAATAAATAAATAAATATTTCCAACACACACCAATTAGCCTAGCCCCAAAGTAAGCACTGTAAGGCTTGTGTTATGGGATACTAGGGTAACGGATAGAATACATATACAGTACATATATAAGTATATTTATAAAGAAATACATATTAAACATCCATGACTGGAGTAAATGCTCGTATTCATCACACAAATATCTGCCCCCACCGGGATTCGAACCTGGGACCTCGAGACGGCGACACCATGAAACCCGGCGTACAAACCACACGGCCACGGAGGTCATCAAACTGCTGGCTTAATGGATAGATAATATTTATGTGTATCTGTTTTGTTGTTGTTATTAGTGTTGAATTTATTTGAAAGAAGTAGAAGCAAAATTCACATAGTAGAATGTTTAATAGAATTTCCACCCAAAAATTTATCCCGCTTTTAGTATAGTAGAGAGAGCTAGTTTTGAGACTTATGCGGGCCAATTTATAATAATATTATATATTTATTTACGAAACAAAAATATATTACGTAAAAACATGTGGGTAGAAGCTGCTCAGGTATTAATGTATGTTGCAGCCACTAACAATCTCTTCCAGAGAAAAAAAGAAGTAAAGATTTTATTCATACACAATGATAACTAAAATAATTGTAAATACAAATGTATAGCTTATTACTTACACATTTCCTATGATTTTCAAATCACTTACTTAGTTCACAAAGTAGAATGATTATATGCATGATTCAGATTTTAATTAGGTTCTTAGTCTCATTGTATCTCAAACTCTGAAGCCATTTATTTCATTTTATTTTGCATTCCCTTAAAGTCAGTAGATATAATATTGTAGTAATTTATTAAAAAAAAAAATACGAACAACACGTAAGAGATTATTAATTGACAAAAAACAAAAATAGCTGTTTAACATATTTGAATAAAATTTCAGATTAAAGAGAAAGAATATAAACCAAAATAGATTTTAATGTAACAAATATAAATAGTAAATAAATATTTCCTACGTTCACAACATCTGCCCCAACCAAGAATCGAACCCGGGACCTCTCGAGTCGGCGACACCATGAAACCCAGCGTATACAATGTCACAATTAAAATATTAAGTTTGCAAATATCAGCGTAATTTAATATAGTTTTAAAAGTACTAATCATAATGTAATGAAAAGAAATTATATCTTACTCTAATTGACTTATTGAAAACTCTTTTGCATCGTACAATATTTTTTTCAAAAAGTATTGGTTGGTGGTAGAAAGGTGAAAATTTAGGATTGTATGTATTTTTGTATGATGTATCATAAAAAAATAAAAACAAAAAAATTTGTGCAAAAAGAACATTTAAGGGTGGACCACCCTTAAATTATCCCATTTAGGGGGATGAAAAAAAGATGTTGTCCGATTCTTTAACCTACTGAATATGCATATAAAATTTCACGAAAATCGGTCGAGCCGTTTCGGAGTAGTTCAATTACGCACACCGTGACACGAGAATTTTGTATATTAGATTAATGTGGTTGTTTATCAGGTGATGCTCAAGTTTCTGCCGGACGTGTACATCAACACGGACCAGTGCCGGGGCTCCAATGCCGGCAAGAGTCCCGGGTTCGGGGTCAGCCTCGTCGCAGAGACCAACGAGAAGACCTTTTACTGCGCAGAAGCGGTGAGGACAGCTCTATAGTACCTTTATTTAGCACAACCATTATAGAATTGGAATAGTTGTATTCGATCTCTATTAACGTCAAATCAGATCGAAGGAGCTTGATGACGCAAGTGGTTACGCGTTCGGCTGCGATCGTTGAAGTTAAGCAACTATCGCAAAAGTCGGTCATTGGATGGGTGACCGAAGATTTACTATCTCGAGCTCCTCCGTGCTTGGGAAGGTACGTTAAACCGTTGGTTCCGGCTGCATCTGCAATCGTTAGCACCCGCCAATCCGCACTGGGCCCGCGTGGTGGGTCATGGCCTAATCTCCTTATTCCATCCATAGGGAAGGCCTGTGCTCCAACAGTGGGGACATTAATAGGCTGATGATTCGCAATGGGCGGGCGTGGTGGGTCACGGGGTAATCTCTCTATTCCATCCATAGGGAAGGTCTGACATTATATATATTTAAATGTATTCTATGCATGTATGTTTAGGTTTTTTTAATAAATATCCATCTAGTTACTTTTATTGGTGTATGTTTATAGTAAGTATATTTTTTGTTTATTATAGCCGCATTTGTGGATTTCTTTGTGCCCAAAGGTTGACTGGCAGATAATGCTTTTTGCGTTAAGTCCGCCTTTAGTCCTGTATTTGTGGCAATAAAGCTTAAATAAATTAATAGGATGATGATGATGGTGATGATGACTTGTAAACATTTTAGAAATCCGTCGAAGCTGGTAAAGGTGAGATCACCCTGCCCGAGGACTTGGGTCGCGAGTGTGCTCTGCGCCTATTGGATGAAATCGCTCGAGGCGGCGCCGTCGACTCCGCCTTCCAATGGCTATTGGCTCTGTGGATGGCGCTCGGACAGAAGGACGTCAGCGTCTGCATAGTGAGTGTTAAATAAAATAAAATTCATTTATTTCGAGCAACATAACTCATAATCATAATAATAATACATAATCAATTACTATAGAAATAGGCACATGTCACTAAAAATACAACTAATCAAATGATTGAAATAAATATTTAATTTAATAAATTATGTAATTTAAATTCAATAATTTCCATCAAATAAAATAATTAAAAATCAAAAGTCAATTTAATAGTATAATAATATCATACACAAAATGAATATTAAAATGTCATAGGTACACAAAATTTATTATTTATATCAGACCGCATTTTTTTAATATAAAATAGCTTACAATTATATTTAATAACATTACAGACCTCCATTAGATAATATATGCTGTGCACAACAATGCCGCATGTAAGGACAGTCAAACCTCTCAAGTATTGTGATGATTCAAACTATCCTCCCTTTTATCAGCCCCAGCCCCCGGGGACGTATGGAATAGCGTCACCCCGGGACTGGGTCTGACAAATAAATGAAAAACACAAAGAAGAAAGAAACCGAACATATCAGACCATTGCAATTAAGAGAACAAATGAATATAATTAAAAAAAAAAACCATCCTGCCGGTATGTGGCCCGTGACCCCCAGTGTACCTTCACTCTTATTTTTCTGTCTTATTAAATATAACCGGACTATATTACGCTTTAATTGACTGAACATCAGCTTCTTAGCTGCTGGGACCAATGGTTTAAGAGCCCTTTTACAAAATTGCGCCGCTGCCCTACTGATCGGCGCGTAGGTACATTTGCACTAGTAATATTGCATTTTACGGGTGATGTTTCGAGTCTTATAAAATAATTATTAATGAACTAATTATAAAAATATATAACAATTTTAGTAGTTCAATAATGGTAGATTAGTTTTTTGAAAGTTTTTGATAGTAATTTTATTTAATTCAATATCAAAATACGGGTAAACCTCCATTGTTTTTTGGGAAAACTCACGGAGGTTAGATGCTTTATTTGATAATTAATGAGATAGAAAATCAAAATTCTAATACATTATGTTACAACAAAAACATATTTATGATGTCATAGTAATTAATTTAATCTAATTTATTGAACATTATTGAGAGATTCAGGCTTTTGAAGTTGTGCATATTATCGTTGTTTCCGTAAACTAGCTGCTGTAGAACGATTAGTACAAAAAAAGGAAAATAGTATTTGCAAATATTCTACATTAACTTACAATAGGAAGAATAAATCTACTATTTGAAATAGTCAAAATTTTTTCTAAGGGGGTAAACAAGGCGCTCAAATATTACGATTTTTTGCAAAAAATGTGAAAGGGCTTAACGTGCCTTCGGTTCGGAAGCATGAAGAAGGTCGAGATAGCAAGTTTTTGACACCCATCTAAGAACCAGCCATTACGAAAGTTGTTTAACCGCCACGATCGCAAATTAAACGTGCCATCGAGTTCCTCAATACGTTTACCAGTACAAAAAAAAGATTTTTTTACTTTTTTCTTAACTCGAACCATTGTGAAAAATCTTATTCTAAGTAATCAACTTTTCCCAGGTTGGCCCGCTGTCAGACTACACAATAAGCTTCCTCCAACATTTAAAAGAGTTCTTCGGTGTCATGTTCAAACTGGAAGCCATCGTTCAGGAGTCTGAAGAGTCTGATGATGAGGAGGATATGCCGTTAGCAAACAAAATAAAGATGACCTGTGTCGGAATAGGCTATGTTAATATCAGCAAAAGGACGTTGTGAAGTGGTTACGGTGTTATCATACTGTGCTTCATTAACTGTGGTGTTACTATAAGTGAAAAATGTTGTGTTGCCATTGCAAAATGAATTTTTTCCATAGCCAAAAAACAAGTTTTTTTCGTCGTCGCCATAAAAAGCAATACCTGTACCTACTTTATTGAGTATAAATAAATGCTATTAAAAATAATGTATTGAATATAATTTCTCAAATTTCATACTTGATTTTATGAGACCTGTATTTCATGGAAATATGTATAATCTTTTTGGCGTTTTGCTAATTATGGTGATGAAAAGTTGTTACGGTTGTTGAATGTAGTGGAAAAATTGTTTTAATTAATTTCATTTATACAAATATAAATAAAACAACTGGTTATTTAAATCGTTTTCTTAATAATAATTTCACAATAATTCTTAAATTAATAACTACAATTGTATAATAATTAAGGCACATTTTGAAATAAGGCTTTGATTTTCCTTCTAATCCTTAATATAATAATGCTGTTTAATATTGACAATTCAATTTTGGGGATTAAATTGGTAGATCAATATATTAATGATCATAAATGAATAAATTAAGGTACATTTTTTTTATGTATGTATTTTAGATGTTACCATTCTAAAAAAGGAGAGGGTATAAACTTATAAAATATAAAAAGAGTATAAAATGGGCAGTGATTGTTTCTATACATAGGAAAGTTCAAAAAAATAAATTTATTTTATTTTGACTTAGAATTATTTTTACTATAAAATATTGCTCATAAAAACAGCGCAAGGGGCAAAGTAAGAAAATGCCTAAGGAATATTTTTCAGTCATAGACAATACAGATATCACATTAAAATATACGTATAATTGTATCGTGGCTTGTCCACAGCATATGAGTATATTATTGTTTTATGAATATCATTTTTTTCTATTGTTTAACAAAGAAGCTTAGAGCTAGGTATTTAATAAATAAAGGAATTTAAGTACTGATATGTTGAGGCACATAGCACATACATATTTACAGCGAAATCACGCATTAGACCATTCAAACGTGAACCTTATTACACTAACATAGAGTATACATTGACTGTACCGAAAGTTATATGATTGAGTAATATTTTCATTAGTGCTATGTGCATTCTGAAAATGTCATCCGAAGTCACCATTTTAAAGCGATAGACAGCTGTGACTGACGAAATTAAGGATCTCTCTTTCGTATTCTATAAAAATAGATGCGATAACAATGTCAATATTTTCGTTGTTTCAGAATCAGCTATAATTTTTTGCCACAACTTATTTTTTAATTATCCTCCTTATTACAAAACGCGGTCTAATGTTAGTCTTGTTCAAACCTAATGTTGTCTGTCTTCTTATTAGCAAACAAAAGTGTCAGCAGCAGTTTCAGTCTAGCTTTAAGTTTAGTGTACGTTTTGTAATAAGGCTGGTTGAGACCGATATTTGAAAAGATTTTTAAGACGCTTTGGTAAGGCCGGCGTTTACTGGCCAAGACCACCTAATTGAGAAAATTACTATTACGAAATTAGTGGCTTAAAATTAATTTCAATAAGAAGTATTTTTTTTTTGTCGTTTGTCGTCTGTGCTGGTATTAGATATTTTTTTTTACTGTTGAGTAGAAATAAATAAAAAATACGAGTGTGCTTATGACCACACGACTGAAGTGAAACTTCTTGAGCTCCATCTGTACAATATATACATGAATGTACATATACATATTTCATTTACTAGCTATGAATATGTATATGAGAGAGAGAGAAAGAAAATGTGCGCGCACTGCTTTCTCTTGCTTACATCCCCAACTCAAACTCCCGTTCGCCTCACTCGAATACACTATTTGTAACGCGTAACGCATTAGCCAGCTTACTCCTCAAACCAGTGGCGGGGCAAGGCCTAAATTTGATGTGGGCAAGACAGATTTCGCGAGGCCCTGAGGCCCTGTACTGTGGCGACCTGAAGACGGATTTTATAAAATAATAAAAAAAAATCCTGTTTCCCGTGGTCCACCTCGTAGTCCACCCAGGTGAACCATGGGGAATATTTATTTCCACCAGGTGGATCACGGGTATTTTCTTTCCCCCCCGTAGTTCACCTGGTTGAACCACGGGAAATAATTTTTATCCGTGGTCCACCTGACTCTTCCACAATTTATTACGGCTCTTGAGTGTCTTGAGAACAATAAGAATTGCAAAAGCAAAAAGGCGCAAATTAATTGAAAGCAATGATTATATAAAAGATATTCAGATGCAGTTAATTAACAACAATATTACTATAGGCATCGCTTTAGAAAAACTACGCTGATTAAATGATTTTAAAATATACGCGATTTTTAAAAATTGTAAATGCTTTTTTGTTCATAAGAACATCCATAATTTACTGTTAGAAACATATGGCTATGCGGGTAGACCACGGGAAACAAATGAAAAAATTCGCTTTTAAGCAATGCATAAAAGTTTTTGAGCTGCGAGGCCCTTGTACCGCGAGGCCATAGGCGGTGGCCCCGCCTCTGCCCCAAGTCAAGCGTGTGTAAAGAATTTTAACTTCAAAATTCAGACTGTCAGTTTCAAAGTTTCAGTAGTCAATGTTCAGTAAAAGGCTGTCTTAGCAACAGTTACTTTTTTAATCTAAATATGTAGCCGACTAGCGTCTAATAGTATATATAGTATATCCTTATCATGTTCTATAGGACAGACTTCTGTCTGCAGGCAGACGAACGGACGAGCCACCTGCGGCTAAATTTGCTAACTTTTTTGTCATTTACAGTGCGTAATTCAAGATAAAATTGCATATCCATCGATGTTTTTGCTCTCTTGAAGCAGACCATGTCATAGTATAGAGGGAACACCATGGAGGGGAGCTCATTCCATAATTTTAAGTTTACAAATTACAAATACTAAACAGCAAATCTGTTCTTTAGTGTTAAGCCACTAATTACGCAACGCAATTTTCTTTTAACATAATTAATTTACGGCAATCAGATATCTTTCTCGTCGCATCCTAGGCCCGCGGACCAATTGCAGATGCTGCCCACGGGATCGAAGCTGAGACCTTTCGGACAGATGTACTCCCAGCCGAAGATTGAACCGTTCTCAATGCGAGCGCACGATATGAACTTCTTGCATGACGTCGGGTGCGGGAAGTTGCCAATGTCCAGACATTCTATGTTGCCTGTGGGAAAAATAAACAATTTGGTTAAATAAAACTACTTTTCAATGGGTTTAAAACCTTTTCAACATAATGAGGATCCGTAATGATTTTAGTTGAGAATGCAGTTTTAAGTAGGTGATTTGCATTTTGTGACTAAAATGTCCGGACTTTTATCTAAATGTCAGGACTTCAAAATTTTAAATAGTAACCCTAATCACGGAAGACTCATTTGCACAATGATCAAAAAAACATCTGTTGAGTATTTTCACCGTTTAAGAAATAATTGTTTCGTTAAACACTAATGCATAGCGTTATAGACCGGCAATGCAAATTAAGGTCAAGATGAAGCTAGTTTCAGGTTTAAGATCTCTTAAAACCCTAAGTTGAATTAAGGTCAAAAGACTACACTAGAATCTACTTACCTTTCCTATGGAGGATAACCTTCGTTTCTTCCAAATACTTCTCGGCAACTTTTTCTTCGCTATCATCGTAGTAGTCGTAATTCTCAATAGGTCTGTAGGTCCTGTTCGGCACAGGCTTCACTTTCTCGAAGGCTTTCGCTTTAGCGGGCACCCGGCGAGGCTTGGCCGTAGTCGCGGGCGGTACGTAGGCGGGAGTGGTAGGTCGAATGGTGGTGGATATCCTTCTGTTCACCTTCTTTCGGAACGGTCTCCTAGTGGTCGTCTGGGGCGTAGTAACCGGAGCAAGGTATTGATATTCCTCTGTGGACGTGGAAAGAGATGTTGGATTAGCGCATTCTGAGGAAAATCAGAATAGGGGTGATGACGGGGTACAGTAAACGAAATTCTATTTAGTACGTCAGTTAGATGATCAAAAAATAATGGACACGTATTTTTTCTTTGTGCAATCAACCAAAAAATGACAAAGTTATAGCGCGTCAAAGTTTGGGAGTAGGGGCTCGTGACGTCATGCGACTTTACAAATCAATAATCTCTGCAATATTATGTGAAAAATGAAACAAATACGTGTCCAATACTTTTTGATAATCTACCTGATAATCGAAGAAAAAAAATTAGTCATCATCCTTATTGAAGATGAAAAAGCGAACAAGATTATTAGATATGTACCGAAATATTAGAAAAATCAACTGACTGATGCCCCAATATTCTTCAAGATTCCAAGATTGCGCTTGGAGTCGAGCCCGCGAACTTATTATTTACGAGCAAGATTATTAAATTTTAATTAATTTCACTGCTAAGTAAAGCTACCTTTTGAACTTCCGAAAAACATCTTACCATCATAAGTTTTGGTTACAGGGGACTCGAGTAGGTATTCCCTCGTGAAATAAGTCGGTTCTTGACTCGCGCCCGAGTATTCTCTAGTTGAGAACTGGTAATCTTCCACCGGCACTAGAATCGGATTCTTGGCCCCCAGGAACCTGGGTGACGAAGACACCACCGGGGAGACGCTCGGTATAACTGGACTGGTGATTGGCACGCGAGACACGCCCGAATCTGTAGGTGATACGCGTGTGAATATAGAGCTAGTAGACGCTACTCCTGACAATCCGGTGTTAATGATCGTGGGCGTCGGCGAAGGAGGAGGTCGGATCTCTTCAGCTGCGAAGGTACTCGTCCTGAACGTCGTCGATTTCGGCACCGAGAACGTTGACACTTTAGGCGCGTCAAATTCCGTCGAAAAACCATCGAAAACTCGGCCGGTAGTCACGTAATCCGGTGAAGACGTCTTGTATACGGGTGTGCTTGTGAACTCTTCGAAATACACCGTTTTGCTGTCCCCTTTAGGGTCTGTTTCTGTCCTAGTGAAGTATTGTGTGCTCTGTGTGTATGACTTTTTGGTGGTTTTGACTTCTTCGTAGTCTGGCAAAATTGGGATTGGTGCTGCTAAAAGCTGGTGGGCTGCTATAGCCACTGCAGTTTCGGCAGTAAAGTCTGAAAAAGGGCAATACTTCTGTAAATGATTGTTGAATTATTGACT